ATAAACATTTAAAAAGATATAAGTAAATGGAGAGACATACTGTGTTCAAGGACTGGAAGACTCAGTATTATAGAGATGTCTATTCCTCCTAGATAGATTTCATAGATAAGATGCAATCCCAACAGTTTTGAAATTGACAAGCTAATTTTAAAGTCTACATGGAAATGCACAAGGTCAGGAATAGCCAAGATGCTCTTGAAGAACAAGGAAGGAGGTCTTGCTCTACCAGATACCAAGACTTGTTATAAAGCTATAGTAAACAAGATAATAAGGTATGGGTTTAGAGATAATTAGGTATGCTCAAATAGACCACAAAGGAATAGAGAACCTGAAAACACTCCCATACATAAATGGACACTTGATGTGCACAGCAATGAGGAATGGACAGGCTTTTCAATAATGTGGGACAATTGGGTATCCATTAGGAAGAAAAAAGGAATTGGACCCCTCCTTTACACCATAAGCAAAAATCAGTTCTAGGCTGGGCACAGTGGCTCACGCCTGTAATCCCAGCATTTTGGGAGGCCAAGGCAGGTGGATCGCACAAAGTCAGGAGTTCAAGACCAGCCTGGCCAACATGGTGAAACCCCATCTCTACTAAAAAAATACAAAAATTAGCCAGGCATGGTGGCACACGCCTGTAATGCCACCTACTCAGGAGGCTGAGGCATGAGAATCACTTGAACCTAGGAAGCAGAGGTTACAGTGAGCCGAGATTGCACCACTGCACTCCAGCCTGGGCATCACAAGGTGACTCTGTCTCAAAAACAGAAAAAACAGCAGTACTAGTACATTAATACCCAAAATGTAAAAGACAAAACTATAAACTTTGAGAAGGTAATATTGGAGAATATCTTCTGGGACAAGGAAGGATTTCTTTTTATTTGTATTTATTTTTCTAAAGTCAGGGTCTCTGTCTCCCAGGCTGGAGTGCAGTGGTGTAGTCTTGGCTGACTGCAGCTTGGAACTCCTGTACTCAAGTGATCCTGCTTCAGCCTCCCTAGTAGCTGGGACTACAGGCACATAACATCACACCAGCAAATTTTTTTTTTTTTTTTTTTTTTGTGGAGATAGGGTCTTGCTATGTTGCTCAGGCTGGTCTCAAACTCCTGGCCCCAAGTGAGCCTCCCTCCTTGGCCTCCCAAAGTGTTGGGAAATCCCCTGCTAAGAATTTCATTTTTGGTTTTTTTTACACAAGGTCTCGCTCAGTTGCCCAGGCTAGAATGCACTGGCATGATCTCAAATCACTGCAACCTCCACCTCTCAGGCTCAAGTAATTCTCCTGTCTCAGCATCTGGAGTAGCTGGGACTACAGGCACATGCCACCGCACCCGGCTAATTTTTGTATTTTTAGTAGAGATGGGGTTTCACCATGTTGCCCAGGCTGGTGTGAACTCCTGAGCTCAAGTGATCCACCTGCCTCAGCCTCCCAGAGTGCTGGGATTACAGGCATGAGCCATTGCACCTGGCTGAGGATTTCTTAAGATATCAAAAATACTTCCCATTAAAGAAAAGACTGATAAATTTGACTAAATTAAAACTAATAAGTTATGCTCATCAAATGATACCATAAAGAGAGCAAAAAGGCAAGCCACAGAGTAGAAGAAGATGTCTGCAACACATATATTAATAACTGACAAAAGCATAATATCCAGACTATATAAAGAATTTCTACAAATCTATGAGAAAAAGACAACTGAATAGAAGAATGGTCAAAAGACTTGAACAGACACTTTACAAAAGAAGAAATTCAGTAGCCAATAAACATATGAAAAAATGATCAATCTTACTAATGAGTGAAACGTAAACTAAAATGTAAATTAAAAACACAGTGGTGTTCCATTATTCATCCACCATGATGGCTAAAGTTAAAGATGGATAATACCAAGTGTTGCCAAGGAAGTGGAACAGTAGGAATGTTCATACACTGCTGGTGGGAGTGTAAATCAGTACAATGTCATTGGAAAGTAACTTGCCATTTACAATAGCACCATATGGCATTCCGATCGTGATTTTGGACTCTTATATGTGAGTCACTTGGGGACCCTTGGTTAGCCCCCATGAGCAAAATCATTAAGAGAGCAAAGTCTTCTGTGGCAGTATCCTGAAAAGTAAGTATTTGCTTAGACTGAACCTAAAAGAGCAACTTTTTAACATCATCTTTGTTTATGTTACCAATGCTGGATGTTATAGATCAAAATTATAATGTCCTGATTGTGGTTATAACTGTGAATTTAATCAGAGCACACTTTTTATATCTTATATTAGAATCTCCATGTAGCAGTAGTACCATTTATTAAGCTGTTGTTAGAAAGATTAAAGGAGTTAATACATGTAAAGTTCCTAGAAAAGTGTCTAACATTAAGTGCTCAGTACCAGCTAACAAGTGACAAAGCCAGAATTCAAACCAGGCCTGTGTTGAAACATTCTACTGTGTCTCATGGCCACATGTTTAGGCATCTAATCTGTGTTGTCAGTATATGTTCAAGGAGTACCATGCCATTTTAGTATAAGCCTATATTTTAAAAACATTTCTAGGAAATTGTCATGAAAACCAAAGAATAGCCTTTGTCCAAATTTTTTAAAAGATTAGAATGAGTATGGTTATGCTGTTTTATGTAAATTCTTCAAATGGATGACTCTTCTATTTTATCAACCAGAACTATAAATTCATTTTATTTTATTTTTATTTTTATGTGTGCTAGGCGAGTAGCTTGCATTGCCATGGAGAAGACCAAACAGGAGCAGCAGGCCAGCTGTACTTGGTTTGGCAAGAAAAAGAAGCAGTACAAAGATAAATATTTGGCAAAGCACAATGCAGGTAGGGAAAAGCACGACTGTTACTGAGGCTGGGTTAAGCATCTCCAAGACCTAAAGAGATGTAATATTTTAATTCAGTCTTCGGTGTTCTCTATCCAAAAAATTCTACCATATGAGATCGTCATCAACTTTCAAAACCTTTAAGAAACCCCTACCTCCAATTAATATGTTGGTTATTTGCTAGATATTTTACAGAGCTATACTTTATAGGACAAAAATGTTATTTTGAAATAGTATCTTCTGGAATGAAAAGAATCCAACATGTTAAGTCCTCCCCTGAGAAATGAAAGCCTGAGAGTTTGCTGAGTAGCCAGGATTCTTATCTCCTTGGCTGGGATTGGTCTTGAACAGATCTCCTCCCCTCTGGCTCCTGCCTGGCCCTTGGGCGTGGCCCTGTGATAAACATCTAAGGGTAGAGGTGTGCTCTTATCAGAGAACTGTGTCACAAATGGTTCTGTGGTTGGTTTGAAAGAGTACAAATGACATGGACACTAACTTGGTTTTGTCCATTTCTGTGAGTAGTCTTCTTCCCTCATGATATTTCCAAGCTCCCACAAGAGCAAGAATCTTATCTTGGCCTTCCCTTTATAGTATGTATGTTTGCCCATATGGAAGTTTGTATTCAACTTAAGTCAAAATGTTCACTTGTCTTGTTAAAAACAGAAATTAATACCAAAAAAGCATGATCTGTTGTTGCAATAGAATATCCAGAAGATTCACAGGGTGCAACTTAAGCTAAAGAAAATGCATAGTGGTATACAGGAGTGCTAACGTAAGAAGTTATTTTCAATAACTTCTTAATATGACTCCTTTTATAAGGAACTTTTTCTGAGGAATTGAAAGTCCTGACTGGCATTAGGTTAGTTCCCAAGGTTTCAGAAATAGCTCCAAAAATTAGAAATGTGGCCAAAAAAATCAAGTGAATCCAGTCATGCATACCCAGATTGATGGCATAATGTTTCTGACAAGTATGAAATGCATTTTTCTCTGTAAATGTTATAACATACTCTGAATTGTTCATTTCTCAATCAGAAATTAAAAGTAAACATTTCAAACTGCTGTATAATGTGGAATGAATGTGAGTGGCCACATGGGTTAAGTTTAAACAGCTCAGTTAAATAAGGAATCATTCCCTTCTTGTTAGTTACATTGTACCACTTTTTTATTTCCAAAAACAGTATAATTTCTGATTATGTGCTACTACAGAGCAGCAGTTTCATAATGGCTTTTTTGGTTTTATGAAGGGAAGAAATAGTTAAAGCAGACTAGTTACACAAAATGTAGCAACTATTAAGTAAATGCTCAAGTATACTATTTGAAGAAATGCACTGCAGAGCCAGTCACGGTGGTGGTGCCTGTAATCGCAGCTACTTAGGAGGCTGAGGCAGGAAGATTGCTTGAGCCCAGGAGTTTGAGGCCAGCCTGGGCAACATAGCAATACCCTATCTATACAAAATAAAAATGAAATAAATAGAAATGCACAGCGGTATCAGCAGAATGTTGCTTCACACAAAACGTCAGTGGTTATTACCAAGTCTCCTTAGTTGCCCTTATTTCTGTCAGCTTCTAACAGTCTAACACAATCTAATAGGCTGACAAGGAGATGTGTTGACATATAAATTGAGAAATGTATGCATCTCACCTTATAATTTTTGCAACAGTGTTAAATGATACATACATATAGATGGCATTGAAAGTAACTTACACCTAGAAAAGCGAAGAAATGGCTGGTTCAGGCTGTCAGTTCATCATTAGATTTATGCTGTACTAATAGAGGGTATGTAAACATGAGTATTCAGTTTGCCAGTATTCTTTAATTCAGCTCTGAGGAAAGTAAGAAATTAATTCATTGAAAAACTAGAATTCTCTAAATACTGTCAAAGAATCAATTTAATCATTCATTTAAGAATTTTGCCAGAGAATCAGCATTCAATCTGGCAGCCAGTGTTTTCACTTTTGTGTGTGTGTGTGTGTTTTCAGTTTTTCCACTCTTTTGCCATCAGGGCATCACTGGTCTTCTTCCATTGTTCCCATTCTCTGATTCCCGTTAGGTGGTGCACAGTGGTCCTGCAAACACGCCTGTAAGCTTAATAGGCAGCTGGAGATAGGACCAGGAATTAGCACACCTGAGTGTGCAATTTGGGCAAATCACTTCGCTTCTGCGGGCCTTGAAATGAGGGAATTAGGTTAATCAAGGATATCTTTTCTAATTCTAAAGATCCGTGGGTCTCAGGTTCTTTCATCACTGGGCCTGACAAACGGCAATCATTCAATGAAGCCAAGTATTCTTGTACTGTCTATCTCAGGCTCTTGCTCTCTGGTAGACATTGCCTATCCAGGTTGAAAGCTATTACCCTTGACATAGAAGTCAGGAGCCTAATAGGGGTAGAATAGAATTGTTTTTTCCTCTGTCTTTTGACATTTACCTCCTATCCCAAACCATTGACCTCTCTAAGTTCTTGTCAGCTTAGAATGAAGAAAGGAGGGGTTGAGAGGACAGGGGAGCCTACTGCCACCACCTGTTTGGTATCATCAGTATTTTCCTAACCAGCGGTCTTCTGGGCATCAGAACCTTCCTTGCCATGCTTGAGGGCTTGTTCTACATGTCAGTGTGTGTCACTGTGTATAAGGCCCTCCTTTGAAAGAAAGTCTGAGCTTCTTGGATGGTCCTTGCAGAGACCCTTAAGTGTCTTTGTAGAACTTTGTGTTTAGGCCTATTTGTGATTCTCTAGTCAGGATATCATTGTTAGGCTTCCCTCGCCTGCAAAATAATCACTGTGAGCTCTCTTTTTAGTGTCTCTTTCTGAAAGAAGATTCCCAACTTTTTTCCTGGACTTTCTGAAATACACTGCCTGCAAAGCCTAGCGTTCCTTTCTGTCACCATCTCTTCAGGTTTCTTCTGCATCGTCAACCAACTCTTCCATTTTGTTCATTAGAAAGTCCAGAAGAACCACTTGCTTAGTATTACCTTTGCTTTACAAGAGATCAAACTGTCAAGTATTTAATCAGCTGTTCTGCTTTTAGCTATGATGAAAGATCATCCCAATGTACAGAAGTGTCCTTATAAAGAATTGCTCTAAAAGACTGAGAAACAAATACTATTGACCTCCACTGGTGAGGCAGTTGCTTTGAGAAATATCATAGCCTTTCATACCAAACTAGATGGGCTCATGGGCCACAGATAAAACAAGATCTCAAAAGGATTTTTCTGGCTTCTTTAGAAGTTGATGGTAAAATACAGTACTCTGTTCTTCTGCTACTACTCAGTTAATTAAAATAAAGGCCGTATGTTTTGTTTCCTGCTTCAAATCTTTGAGAATTCATCATATATTGATGGCAAGATCCAAACCTTATCAAATTCTGGCATTATTTGTATTTGTGGTACAAATGAAGGTTGGGAATTTTGTCATTATCTAGAACTGGTGGGAATGATAACACTAGAATTATTTCCATTTTTGTCACTAGGAAATTCTACATAGCTTGTTAAAGTGGAATTCTGTTCAGACTGTGTTACCTACAATTCCCATCATAAAGTGACAGCCTATTCGCTGAATTTGACCCATGAGTAAATTTTATCCCTCTAACTCCCACACACACAGTGTTTAAAATAAATTTTAATAAGTCATCACATGTGAAAGTCAGGATATTTAACATAAAAATTTGGGTTTCAGAGTTCCCTTAGAAGAACAAGGAATGCAGCAATACCAGGCCCACTTTCTCTCGCAGTAACTCTGGGTGGTTAATGTGGCCTTTGAATGGTCACTCATTCTCCAGCACACGCTGTCCACACCACTCCCTGTTTTTGCACCTGGCCCACTTCATTCAACCACATTAGCTACCTGACCCCTGCGGGCATTCAAGTATCTACTTCTTAACCCAATGCTACCAGTGTGCAATGCTCTTTTGAATTGGAGATCTTTATAGTATATGAAGATCTTGATAGCATTTCCAACTGAGATAAGGATTCAACGTTAATGACTTTTTTATGGAAAAAATTCAACCTGGAAAGTAGTTACATAAATACTTAAAAGAAGTGTCTGGAATGTTAAGTAGTTTAGCAGGAAATCAGGGTAATATGAGCAAACTGTGCCAGACAGTATTTCTGAATCCTTGGGAATAGATTTGATTATGGTGTGTGTAGCTTTTACAGCAAATACATTTTCTGTAACACATAAAAGGTTTCTAGCCATGTATACTTGGTGCAAAAAGCATTGTAGTGTGGCTAGAACAACTGAACTCTAGAGGCATTGAGATTCCTCAGCCCCCAGGACTTCCAAAAGTCATTTTAGATCAAGTTACTAATGTAAACTTTTTAAAAATTTAGGAAGTTTTCATTAATTTGTTTTCTTAAATGTTAGAGCCCCGAAATGTTTACATACACATATTTGAACATAGGGGATTTCTACAGTACCATTCATAGGTGTGTTTAAATTATGCTTAATACCACAAGTTAGTACTATTGACTTTAAAAGCTATTCTTTTTTTTTCTGGAATACAAGCAACTCTAAAGGAAACGAAAAGTGACCCATAATCTCACTCACTGCCCTGTTGGCATTAAAAATAATAATAGGCTGTGCGCAGTGGCTCATGCGTAATCCCAGCACTTTGGGAGGCCAAGGTGGGCAGATCACTTGAGGCCAGGAGTTCGAGACCAGCCTGGCCAACATGGCAAAACCCCATCTCTACTAAAAATACAAAACTTAGCTGGGTATGGTGGTGCACGCCTGTAATCCCAGCTACTTGGGAGGCTGAGGCAGGAGAATCACTTGAACCCGGGAGGCAAGGCTGCAGTGAGCCAAGATCCCACCACTGCACTCCAACCTGGGTGAAGGAGTGAGACCCTGTCTCAATAATAATAATAATAAAAATAATAGGCACACATGGTTAGAAATTACACATGGTACAGGACAGTACAAAGTGAAAAGCAAAAGGCTTCCATGTCTACACTCTCTGAAGAGGTTTTCTTGTAACTATTCTCGATAAAATGTCTATGCTAGTATATAAAATCCACTGGCTTTTATATAAGGTTATTGTTGAATTTCTATTAAATGAGTTTGTTTCTTAATGTGATTTATTTGCCTTGTGTTTAGAATATTGCATGATAAAGTTTATTTTGTACATATTATACTTTTATTTTACTAATATATGAAAAGCCATATTTCAATGACCCCTGTACATTTTTCATGCTGTCTCACTCCCAATGGCCTCTGTGCATGTAAGTAACCTGTTGAATGACTATGCCTCTGTGTTTTTGATGATTTTCTTTTAAGTCCTTTTTTTTAATCAGCAAGCAACTTAAAACCTTTAAAAGTTCATTCTTTAAGTGCTTTCCTAATATTCTTTGTATCTCTTATTTTAAAATACCCTTTTTTTATTGTTTCTCAACCCTATGACCGTGTGGCAATTTCATTTAGACCAGAGTAACCTCTTCATGCTGCTCCTTTATGGTTAAGATATTGATGTTTAACATATCTGTTTCATTTCATTTTCATAACATACCTGTTTGTGGTTTTGATTGTTGACATCTAACTCATTCTTATGTGTTTTTTTTTAAAAATGACAAGTCTTAATTTGGTAGGATTAGAGTTAGGGCTCTATAGAGGGATAGGTGTGTGTATATACCATTGAGAAAGCTTGTGTCATCATCATCATCTTGCTCTTTCGTGAGATGCTTGCTTATTTTTATTAAAATATATTAAAACATATCTGCTTGTCAATGCACTTCTTTCGTAAGCATACTTTTTCTTGATGGAAATATCACTCAGAGGGCAATAGGTCTAAAAAATAATGCCATCAGCACTCCTGCTTTTATTTTTGCAACTCTCATCACTCCATTACTACTGCAGTATAACTAACTAGCCCTACCACAGAGGGCCTCATGTTCATTTTAATTTTGTGAGTCTGCCATTCTGAACACAGAAAACATTTCTGGCTTTTTAGCTATTGCTAGAGGATATGCTTTAAAGACTTTCAATCAACCTTTATAAATCAAGTTATCGAAAGAAAACAAATGTGCAAATACCCATTAATATACACTAACCTCTATTTTAATATATTGTATTTCTTTATATATTGTGATAATGGTGCTTTTTGTTTGTTGGTTTCTGATCTATTCTATTCCCAAGTATCTTGTTTTGCATTTTAAGTGATTGGGCAAATCACTAATGTTAAGAATTAAGGTGATATTCACAATCATTTGGCCATATTGTTTTAAGGAGTAGAAGGTTCTCTTAATGAATGATTGGCTAAAGTAGCGCAGATTTCGGCCGGGTGCGATGGTTCACACCTGTAATCCCAACACTTCGGGAGGCCAAGACCAGCGAATCACCTGAGGTCAGGAGTTCAAGACCAGCCTGGCCAACATGGTGAAACCCCGTCTCTACAAAAATACAAAAATTGGCTGGGCATAATGGCGGGTGCCTGTAACCCGGGAAGCTGAGGCAGGAGAATCGCTTGAACCTGGGAGGCAGAGGTTGCAGTAAGCCGAGATCGCACCACTGCACTCCAGCCTGGGCGGCAGAGCGAGAGTCCATCTCAAAAATAAATAAATAAATAAAGCAGCCCAAATTCCTTTATTACATCATTGAATCGATTTTACTGAATTTATTTTAACCCCTCTAAAATCCAGGGTTTATTCCATATTCTTTAAAAAAAGAAATGTCAGTATGTAACTGACAGCATTTGGGTATGACCATACAAAAATTACAGGAAACACAGACATACAATTTTAGCCCTTTGTGAGAATTTCCAAATGTGTGTGAGAATTGGACCACGTTGAATTTCAACAGGAATGGGCATCTGCTCAGGAAAGTTTCGTACATTGCTTGAAATTGCTTTTATGATAGTGTTAAGAGGCAGGCTTCAGAAAATATTTGTTAAAATATTTCTCCTCAGTCTGTAGTGATTAGAGAACTCCACTTTTGCAAAGGTTTCGGAGCTCAGACTCTGCTTCATGATTCTTTCCATCCTGATCCACCACACGCAGACTGCCCATGTAATGGTCGACAAGTTTTCAGGCCCAGGAAAGCATGTAACTCTCCTTACATATTCAAGACTCTCCATTGAATGGATATCTGGGTTACAGGAAAGCTTGTGAGATGCTCATTGATAAGCTTATGAAATAGTTACAGAACTTGCCTTAGAATCTAGCATGCCACCTTCATCAACTCTGTTGAAAGAAAGAACCATGAAGTTAAAGACCAGCTGCCCATGCATTTCTCATCCATCTTTAGAAATGTTCTAGCTGGCCCCTCTCCTGGTTAACTTTAGTTGCATTCATGCTATATTCATGTTGGTCACTGTCTGTAGACTTTTTCTTTTTAGTATTACTGACTTCTTAGAATTGGAAAAATATGAACAGCATGTGGTTTCGAATGAATTCATATAATTTGTTGGATACTGCATGAAAAGATATGTAACATCTTTTAGATTTGGACATTTTAATGCATGTGTTCAGCATCTTTGGATGCCCCTAGTTCTAAAGTGCATTTTCATGGGCTTAAAAATGAAAATTTCTCCCTAGATGCTATATGACTTAAATTACATATAAGCCATATATCATAAGTTAGATTCATATTTTTAAGACATGGTTTTAATATAACTGTAGTTTTGCAGTAAAATTATAATTTATGTACATGAAATAGTCATTCCACAAATTCACCTTTCTTCTAAATCTTTGCGTTTTAGTGTTTGATCAATTAGATCTTGTCACATATGAAGAAGTAGTAAAACTGCCAGCATTCAAAAGGAAAACACTAGTCTTGTTAGGTAAGTTTGATTGTATAAGTGGGTTGCTTATTCTCTCTTTCAAAACATTTTGTGAACATTATTAAGAGTTGTCAATTTTAACATTCTTTTTTCCTAAATGACATAGGCGCACATGGTGTTGGGAGAAGACACATAAAAAACACTCTCATCACAAAGCACCCAGACCGGTTTGCGTACCCTATTCCACGTAAGCAATGTCTCAATCTCTTTTCATTATATTTTTCCTATCACTTTTTTAACTCTATAATGTGTGTATTTTTTTCTGATTACATGAGGTATAACTGTTCATTGTAGGAAATTCGTAAAATCCAAAAAAGAACAAGGAGGAAAATGAGTTAACAATAATCCCAACCCCTCTTTCCCTATAATAAATGCTATAAATATTTTGTTGTATACCCTTCTAGGCTTCTCTGCTGTATACCCTTCTAGGCTTGTCTTAGTACAGATATGTGTATAGAGTGTGTGTGTGTGTGTGTGTGTGTGTTTTAAATAAATTTAGGTTCATCCATTCTGTTTGTAACAATTTTTCTAACAACATGTCATACGCATTACCTAGACAAATTATTCTTCAGAAAAGTAAGTTTTCATAGTTGTAAAGTTTCTGATATGACAATTTTTCCCTTAATTAATATTTAAATTGTTGATTTCTTATCACTTTTTAAACCCAATCAATATGCTAACAGTTGTTTCCGTAGAGATTTTCAAATCTGTAAGATTTTTAATTCTCCTTTATTTTCTGTATCTTATTCTTAACCTCTTGCCCTCTTCATTTTCTCAATTGTAAAATGAAGTAATTCCAGGATTGCAGAGGGGATTTGAGATCATGTGTATGAAGCGCTTAGCAGATGATGGATGAGTAGAAGCTATCTACCACTATCGTTTCATTATTATCATCATTATTCTAAAGTTTAAAATTTTAGGCAAGGCGCGGTGGCTCATGCCTGTAATCCCAGCACTTTGGGAGGCTGAGGTGGGCGAATCACCTGAGGTCGGGAGTTTGAGACCAGCCTGACCAACATGGAAAAACCCCATCTCTACTAAAAATACAAAATTAGCTAGGCATGGTGGTGCATGCCTGTAATCCCAGCTACTCAGGAGGCTGAGGCAGGAGAATCGCTTAAACCAGAGGTGGAGGTTGTGATGAGCCAAGATCGCACCATTGCACTCCAGCCTAGGCAACAAGAGTGAAACTCCGTCTCAAAAAAATAAAATAAAATAAAATTTTCATCCCAGAAGCTTTCTAGCAGTTCAGGGTTGGAAGAGCTAAAGGAGAATGATTTTTTAAGAGCAACAGGAGAAAATGTGAAGATTGGCTCCATTCTATAGGGCCTTCACATGCCTTCCTGAAGCAATGTCACCGCCACTTACAGTTATCTGTACACCTCAGAGAGCCAGGAGGCTTCATGAGACAACCTTCATCCCAAAACCCTGTCTGATTTACACAAGAAATTTATCCAATAGTGCCTCATTTGGCACTACTGGGGTTTTCTAGTAAAACACTTTGAAGTGTTCTTTTAATTCTCCTTATGTCTAGATCATGAGTACAGCAAGCTTACCTAACATTTAGCTTCTTCTTAACCACGTAACAGTTGAACTTCCATGTTATTAAATGGCCAGTTAACTAGTTTGGTTTTAAAACTTACCTTTGATGACATCAATCATGACTAGTCTTTGAAATATTTGACCCCGTATGTGTATGTAACATGTATCTAACTACTAAGACGACTAAAGATAGTACAACATCAATATGTTATGTCAGTTCTTTGCCGGGCGCGGTGGCGCACGCCTATAATCCCAGCACTTTGGGAGGCCGAGATGGGTGGATCACATGAGGCCAGGAGTTTGAGACCAGCCTGGCCAACGTGGTGAAACCGTATCTCTACTAAAAATACAAAAGTTAGCCAGGCATGGTGGCATGCACCTGTAGTCCCAGCTACTAGCGTAGCTGAGGCATGAGAATCACTTGAACCCGGGAGATGGAAGTTGCAGTGAACTGAGATCTTGCCACTGCACTCCAACCTGGGCAGCAGAGCGAGACCCTGTCTCAATAAATAAATGGTAATGCCGGTTCTTCAGCTTTTGAGAGAAAGGGCTTCTCTTAAAATGTCCACATTTTGATGACCACAAGCACTTGATGTTCTAACAGGCTAGCAGGAAAGGGGGAATTCCCCATTAGTTTAGGCTCATGTACACAGGAGAGAGTAGCATAAATTTGTTCTTTCTCAAGGAAAGAAGGAAGTGAGGAAATTGGGAGAGAGAGGGAAAAAAGGGGAAGGAAGGGAGAAGAGAAAGGGGGATAGGGAGAGAGAGAGAGAATATTAAAACCAGTGTCCCTAGCTCATCTAGAAAAACATTTCCTAAAGTGTGTTTTGCAGGATACTGGTCCTATTAGTATCCGCAGAACTAGAGCTTATTGGCGTATACTTCAGTTACACTCACTCAGGTGAGGGGTAGGCAAACCTTTTCTGTAAAGGACCAAATAGTGCACATTTGAGGCTTTAAGGCCACACAGTCTGTCACAAGCACTTAGCTCTGCTGTTATCTCATGAAAACAACCATAGACAATATGTAAACAAAAGCACATGGCTGTGTTCCAATAAAACTTTGTTTACAAAAACAGACAGTAGGTGGCCGGGTGCAGTGGCTCACACCTGTAATCCCAGCACTTTGGGAGACTGAGGCAGGCAGATCACCTGAGGTCAGGAATTTGAGACCAGTCTGGCCAACATGGTGAAACCCCATCTCTATTGAAAATACAAAAAATAGCTGGGCATAGTGGTACATGCCTATAATCCCAGCTACTCAGGAGGCTGAGGGCACAAGAATCTCTTGAACCCAAGAGGCGGAAGTTGCAGTGAGCTGAGATCGCGCCACTGTACTCCAGCCTGGACTACAGAGTGGGACTCTGTCTCCAAAGTAAAAAAAAATAAATAAAAGACAGTAGGCCATATTTGGCCCATAAGCCAGTTTGTCACCTCCTGATTGACGTCTTCCATAAAAATTATGGCTATGTCTGGCCACAGTCATTGTGTTTTCAGTGTAATGTGCCTTTTGCTGTATCCTAACATTCTCCTTTTGCAAGATGTTATAGACCATCACTTTTCTATAGAACTTTCTGTGACAATGACAGTACTTGATGTCTGCGCAGTCCAGTACAGTGGCCATTAACCACACGTGGTTATTGAATCCTTGAAATGCCGCTAGTGAGACTGACAAACTAAAATTTGAATTTTATTTAATTTTGGCTTATTTAAATTTAACCATATGCGGTTTTCCATTTTTTTATTCTCCTGTTTTCCTTCTACACAAGACTCAACTGCAGTAAGGCACACAGTGAGTTATATTCATCTTGGGCCATTTCATGTCTTCCTCCTGTGGTGATTCATGAAGGGATAAAATACATCTCACCTGAACACTGAAAGATTCACCAAACCAGACAACTGACTGGCTACTGTGGTGTGATGTACACAGATAAATATGGTTTCTAGAATTTAGTTCTGCAAAGCCACTGGGGGTGAGAACAGGGGATATGAGATATATGCTAAAGAATCCACAGCTTTTAGGAAGAGACTGGGTTTGAGTAAATCTGTTGGGAGCGTAGTAAGCTCATCAGCTCCGCCTTTTAAACCTCTTGTGCCATGCGGCTTTGCAGACACAACCAGACCTCCAAAGAAAGATGAAGAAAATGGAAAGAATTATTACTTTGTATCTCATGACCAAATGATGCAAGACATCTCTAATAACGAGTACTTGGAGTACGGCAGCCACGAGGATGCAATGTATGGGACAAAACTGGAGACCATCCGGAAGATCCACGAGCAGGGGCTGATTGCAATACTGGACGTGGAGCCTCAGGTAATGCCCAGCCTCCCCGAATGTCTGACATCCTGCCTGCATGCCAATAAGCACAGATTCTGAAATCAAAAATACCATCAGAAAGTCACAGGTCACATAATTTCATAAACTACGGAAAAGTGTCAATAATAGAGGCATTGGGGGTTCACAGTCTAGAATGCCAGCTGACTAATCGTTGGACTCAGTGCACACACCAGGTATTTAAGAAGCAGACATTATTCTCTTAAGAGGTTTATTATATGCAGAAGCTCAATAAGGTTCCTGATTGGGTCTACGCCTGCCAGAAATCCTACAATCATCTGACCTCAGGATGAGGCTCTGGCACTTTGTTATCACAACAGCCACCTTCCCTCTCTGGGTACAGCTCATGCTGGACCATCAGAGCCTCTGCCAGCACATTATGTTCATCTCCAGTGAGAAACTGATCCTGGGGCCTGGGTCTAAAACACAGCACTAGCTTTATGAAAGCAAGCATGAGTGAGCCCAGATGTCAAAGACAGCAGGGATGGAAACCCATGGTGTCTCTCAGCCTCTGCCATTTCCTTACCTGAGCACAATGCCTGACCCTGAGCGAAAAGTAGGAGAGGGATAAAGACTTGGAAGAGGACTCAAAAGAGAGCCAGACACAGAGATGACGAAATGGTTTCTAGATATGTCTTGCAATAGGAATTATTAAACTTGGAAAAGAGAAAGCTGAAGGCTTTACATCAAAAATGCTGACAAGCTGTTTTTTCATCTCTGAGTTCAAACCAAGTAGACATGGGAGGTAAAGCACAGTAGGAAGGATTTGGGAGTTGTAGACATCAAGGTGGGTTACAGGAGAGGCTTGTGGGTGCCCATGTGACTCCGAGTTGCCATTTCTCGGACTGACCTGTACCAAATCTCTTTTAACACTTAGAAATAGAACCAGTATGCTACCTGCTGAAATAGTAGACCAGCTTCCCTCAAGCAGGCTGTGTTTCATCAGGAGGCTTACCTGGCTATCCTAGGCAGGACGAATCCCTGTTCAAGGACCACTGTATGAGACTTGGTCCCCTAATCATCCCTAAAGCAAGGACAGAACCTGTATAGCCAGAGTCTGTGTGACGTGGGACCTGACAGCTCAGTTTCTGGGCTCCAGGATCCTAATTTGTGGCCAGTGGGTTCACCCATTTCTGTTTACAACACCTGATGGCGTTCTTGAACTTGGAACTTTGGAAACCACAAAAGGATCTGTTTAAGGGGCTAGGGAGGAAAGCAGCAGTAGGGTGAACACTGCCATTTACTTAACAATTAACTTGGACCTATATAGAACTAAATATATGATGTGTACCACAGATTGATTTTTGTTTAACTGCTAATCCCTCCTTACTAGGGATTGGAAAAATCTTCTGGCCAGGGGTGGCTAGAGGCAAAGTCTCAATCCTGGTCCTGGTCTTCGACATCCTCTCCTTGGGTTCCACACTGGTCTTCACCTGAACGTCGTTTTCTGCTGGTAGTAATGTCTCTAGCAGTATGCTGGCTGCAGGGCTCCTCAGACTCCCTCTGCATTACCTAAGTCCACTTTCGAGGGCTTTCTGCCTTACCTGCCTCCGCTACTGCCGCCGCCACCGCCACTGCTGCTGCTGCCGCTGCTGCTGCTGCTCCACCCGTAGCGTCCAGCTCTCCCTGTCTCCTTGCCCTTGCACAGCCATGCATTGCTCTGCACTGCTGAGTGGGAGACACTTCTCTCAGCCTCCTCAGGACACCCACAGCAGTTACTTTTACCCATTGCACTTGGCCCCAAAGCACCTCCTCACCCCGGCTGGGCACTCTCCTCTGCTCCCCTGAGTGCTGGATGAGCTCACCTGCACTCTTCTCTCCTGCTTCCTGGGTCCCTGCATCTCAGAACTGTGATCTCTCAGATCCACTTAGCCCCGAGGGCCGGCCATAGGCATCCTGGCTGCCTGAGCCTCTTTGGGCCAGCGGCCCTGGGGATAGGGATTGCCCAGGTCCTGCCCCTCCCGTTGGTCTGGTTGACTACACTCGTCCCAGGCCCTGCTGCCCAGGCCAGCCTCATGCCAGTCCTGGTCTCACAATGACCGCTGCATACCACAGTACAGCTGAGGATGCCCGCAATCTGCACCGCCTGGGCTTCACTCTTGGGCTTCTCTGCCCTCAGCCCAGTCTCTCCTCGGCTGGGCAAGGTCTTCATCCTGCCTTCAGGATGCCTGTGACCATGAACAACTTGCTTTCAGGCAGAGCCTCATTGCTCCAGGGAGGCTCTCTCCTTAGGACATTTTTCTTCACCCCCCTTTCCCACTCCAGCTTCTTAGATGACCCCTCTACTGTATCTCACAGACAGTTCAATCCAACAAACTTGTATTAAGCACTTATATGCCAAGCGGAGGGTCAGGAGCTAAGAATACAATTCAGAAGACAAGATGGTGAGGATGAAATTCCTTCCTCATTGTACATGCGAAACTGTCCATAACAGAAGGGCCTTGTGGCATTTTTTTAAATCCTCTCACTTCTGCCAAACTACATGTGGACCATAGGAAAACCACCTAACACGTGTCCAACTCTTTTAGTGCCGGTCTAATACTGTATGCCATCTTATTTCAGACAACTGAGGCCCAATTGAGCACGTCTAATAACACTATATGATAAGATGTTGTGGTCCAACTTTAAAGCTAGAGGATGATGGTAAAGACATTAAACTAGAAAGAAATTAATAACCTGGCTTCTCATGAAATAGTAATAGATTATGTTCTTAAAGTGCTATATATTTCGCCAGGCATTATGACTCCTTACCTTATCCTTGTAACCCTATGAGCTGGAGATCAGTATCTACTTTTGTAGATGGAGAAACCAAGGCTTAACATACTTGTGACTCGATTAAGGCTTTACAGTCAATTGAAAGTGAGGTGTGAAGTTGAACTATGTTGATTTTTAAATTTTTATTCTTTTACAATAAATCCCCACTTCCTTTCACTGTACTACCCTAGAAGAGGTAACCCTGGGAATCCTTAAGATGGTTCACCTTATCCATAGTAGTACAATTTAAAGCCTCCTTTTCTTTTTTAATGTTCAGAAAAATCTGTAATTCAGTCAAACCTAAGAAAAACTGCAGAATTTATTTCTCATGAAAATAAAGCTATGGCTCAGAAAGTAATCTGTGCCTCTAAAGCTGAAACTGTCATAGCCCCATTGTGTAATCAGAGCTTAATGTGATGGTTTTAGATTTTAACTTTATTCTGATGTATCCATTTGTAGCATGAAAAAGTTAATAATAGCAGAATATTTGTAGTTTTGCTTTTGCCCACGGAGGAAGAGGTCATCATCAAGAGGTAGCGTACAGTCTTGTTAGGAATCCATACTTTAAAACAAGAGCCAGGTTCTGAACCAGAGACTATTTTGTGAAATCAGTTAGCTCTCTTGAGATGGGTTCCGGGGTCACTGCACTCTTCCTAAACCCTTAGATTTTTGTACCAAATGACTCAGATGCGTGCCCCTGTGTGCCTTTTAAGCTTGCAAACCAGAATAGATATCTGCATCTTATACACTTGGGTCAAATGAGTTTCTATTCCTTGAAGATAATAACCTGAGATAAATTATTGGCCATAGCCAAGCCATAGAATCAATTTATCTCCACAAATATTAATGTTATTTTGACTATCTGAATCTAGCATGCTTTCAGTGATCCTTCTAGAGCATGCTCTTTCTCTCCCTGTCCATATCTGTCCCTGTTTCTCCTCTCTCTCTCTCTTTCACACACACACACTCATACTCTCTCTCTGTCTCTCTCTGTCTCTCTCTCTCTCTCTCCCTCCCTCTTTCTCTCTCTTCCTCTCTCTCCCTCTCTGTCTCTCTCTCTCTGTCCCTGTCTCTCTCTCCGAATCCCAGAGAGATTCAGAGAGAAATATTTGCCCATGAGCATTAAAAAATTTGTGCCTCATCCTGAGTCAGAAAGGAAGAGGGCTTAGAGTTCATCTTTAAGTCACCTGTTAACTGCCTGGGAGAGGGGAATCCTTGTGAGCAATTCCATTTCCTGTCCCTGACGTAACTCTGAACCTCAGTCAGGCTGCCACAGCACCAAAAGTGGCACTCACTTGAGACCCATAAGTAGTGCAGAGTATGGCACAAAGACCTTCAAGAACAAGTGAGGAAATGTGTGGTGAGTCTGCTGAAAATACAAGGCTGACTAGACAGGAAAATCTCAATCAGGATTTGAGGCATCTTAGAATTTTTGAAAGTACAATAATAAAGTACAGGAATAGAAAAAGCCACAAAAAGGAGGAGAGAGCAAATATGCTAACCACAGGGCTACTTTAGTTACTGTGATAAATACTAAATTTGGCTCTGAACTTTCTGACAACCGGGGCAAAAAAAAGGAAATCAAGGAATATAACCTGATTCGTAGACATGAGAGGCATCTGGCAATGTGAGGAACATGGCCACCATTGATGGTTTTATGCAGTAAGTGCAGTCTATGGATATAGACCAAGGACATGAATGCAGTGCAGAGATGGGCAGTCTGCAGAAAGCTAAACTAATGTTCCAAACAGTTTGTTTTCTGCTGTTGTAATGTGATAGCTGGAATGGAAAACATGAGAAGGATTGGGTACCTGGCAGGCTGGGCCACTGAGTGGAGAAAAAAACCATTTCATGCCCAGGGTGTCATTCTCTACTTCATCCGTGAGTTCTGTTCAGCATCCAGGCTGGGTGGACTTCCATCTAGAACTCAGAATAGCTTTGGAGATAGAAGCAAATAGGGTTCTTTCCCATCTCAGTTGCCCAGAAGCAGGCTATGGGATGGGTATATGTGTGTGACCAGGAGTAGGGGTGATGAGAAAACCTTGTCTCACCTGACCCTGTATTCACCTGATCTATGAGTATAGGAAGGAAGGAAAAAAGGCCTAAGATAATACTGACATAAAGGATATTTCTAAGTGAAGATCCCTGTTAGCTTGCTTGACCTATATATGGACTTCATCATAATGTTTGTTCCTTGGGGATTGGCAAAGAAATTGCCAGTTACCTCTTTCAAAAATTAACATATATGCAAGCTTAAAGAGCTTTCTTACCAGAGGAATCAGAGCCTAGGACTTTAAGAATTAAAGAACTTTGATGGATAAATACAATGTACCAGTCTCCCTCAACCCACAAGAAAATGCTGTGTGACTAAAATTCAGAAATATAATCAATCCTAGTGAAAGTCAACCTTGCACTAAAAAAAGAAAGAAGCTTTCATGTCAAATTTGTCTCTTACATGCCTATATACACGAAGAGGCTAAGAGAGTCCCTTCGGCCAAGAGAGTAGAGTGCTCTGTAGATGAACCTGCCTTAAAAGACAAGATAAATTCTGTGCAAATTATATCTACTATTTTTACATTTTAATTTTTTTATAAGGGCAGTTTATGCTGGGTACCATATTGGCCATGAGTGAGACAGCTGAAGAAGACACAGTCCCTGCCCTGAAGGAGGGTACCCGCTAGTCCGTGGGGTCTTGGGTTTCCCATGTGATGGGTACTTCAGGAGCACATGGGAGGGTCTCAGAGCCCACAAAGGACTTCCCAGAGAAAAGAGCATCAGTGCTGAGTTCTGAAGGATTACTCAGCCAAGCAAAAGGGCGAGTGGGGAAGGGGAAGAGAGGATGGGAGGTCCAGGCAGAGGGAGTAGTAAGTCAAAAGGCCGGAAAGCCAGAAGAGAGTCTGGCCCTTTCTGGAACTGAAAGTAGTTCAGGACGGCTGGCCCATGGAGGCAAAGGGGCAGAGAGAAAGGCTGAAGAGGTTAAGCACAGGCATGTTTATGAGGGAGAGAGGTGACATGCATGCTGAGGAGTATACATTTTATCCTGAGGCCAAGAGGGAACTGTTGAATTCTGAGCAGGAGAGCCATGGGTTTTGAATTTCAGAAAGATCATTCCAGTAGCAGGGTAGAGTGTCGATTGGAAAGCAGCAAAACCAGAGGCAGGGCAACCAGTCTGATTACTATGACAATAAGCCGGGCAAAAGATGGAGCAATAGGAATAGCACGAAGCAAGCAAATTTAAAGACCATTTAGAAAGCAAACTATGTGGGGAGCACGATAGTTAAGTTCTTGTGTAAATGACAGCAAGATATTTACCCCAGCGCATATGAATTAATCACATGTCAGTCACTTGTGAATTGGGTATCTGTATGTGTTGGGTTTTGTTCCTTGGAAGGGAGTTTGTAACCTCCAAGATAATCATATCCTCCTGGGGAGGAGCTGAAACAGTAATCCCTTAGCAGAATTAACTCCCGCAGCGTCTGATTGCAGCGTTGCAGTATATCTATCCAAACTAGTAGCTTGCAGTTAGAGGTTTTCAGTGCCTTGGAAGGGAACTGAAAGGGATCTCAGAGACCCTTCTCTCTTGAATGCAGCGATTTCTCATGAGCCTACACATTGCCCACAGCCACACAGTGTCTTTAGCGACAGGACTAAGACACAAAGTCTAGGGCTTCTAACTCCAGCCCTGGGCAAGCTTCCCCCTTCCCCAGGAGTCCCGGGGGCTTTTCAGCAGAGCAACGCAGTTACAGTGGACAGATTTGCTAGCAGTCCTTGGCTAGCGATTTGAAATTTGAAATGTGAGGGAGTGGCCTCCAGATTAGTGGCAAAACCAGCCTGCAGGTCCAAGTCTCTCCTTAAATGCATTTCCTGTGGATTAAAATTGAGGCTACAACTAATAGCCAGGTTTAAATGGACATTAACCAACATAATCAGTGTTAACTTTTATGAAGAAAAAGAGATTGATTCATGAGTCATAAGAAAAATGTCCAGTTTGCCAACTTTTATTGTCTGATGGCTATTGTCCATCCTTTAGAAAAAAAGTAATATAAGTTATGTATAAAGTTGGTAAATTTAATAATACCTTGCCAAAAATTTGAGCCAAGGGCTTGAAATTTTCAGTTGTATAAAAATTTTTATAGACTCATTTGAAAGTTACATTAGTTATTTCTTCTTTTAAGTCGGGATTTTTCTTTTTTTTTTTTTCTTAACACAGGCACTGAAGGTCCTGAGAACTGCAGAGTTTGCTCCTTTTGTTGTTTTCATTGCTGCACCAACTATTACTCCAGGTTTAAATGAGGTAAGAATCAATCTGTTTTTCCCCAAATAAGCCGTAAGGATCAAGCCTTAGTCCCCAGCACAGTCAGAAGCGTGTCAACCTACATTTGCAGCAAGACTGCTCTGATGAAATGGGATGTGGAGTAGAATGCTACATGGGACAGCCTTATCAGTAAGTTGACTTCTAAAATCTGAGGACAAACCCCCTCGCTCCCACCAGGACCAAGGCATCCCAGGTGTCTCACAACCTCCAGGGCTGCCAGCCTACTCCCTACCCAGTTACGGATTGTGCGGCCCGTGGAGTGGAACCTTCGTGGAATTTCTCTCCAGGCCCCTGGAGACTACCAAACCTAGAAATCAGCTCTGTCCACTGTCAAGCCAGCTCAAGTCAGAAACTGCCACAGACGTGGTACTCATGAGAGTTGGCTGCCGACTTTTAGAAGGTTTTCCATTGCTGAGCAGATCCAAAGGGTAGTTACCATGTGTCTGCTAAGTGTAGCAGTGCCTATCCGCTGTAGGTTCCTTAGTTAAGGGGAGAGTCTTATACAAAGTTATCCTGAAGACAGTTGCTTTCACAGGTTCTAGAAATCATCAGAGGATTCGACTCTGTTCAGTCAACACTGACCTAAACTCACCCAAGCTTAAAATCTAGTTAAATCAAGGCTTGGAAATTTTCCCTTTGTGTACCTTTAAGGAAGATTCAGGATTTTGATTTACCTGTGTTACTCATATTTTCCATCATGTTTTTGTCATTTCATCTGCAAGAGGTATATTCCTTTGTAAAATTCTACTTTCCCATCTTTTTTAATACACAAGCATGTTTGAAACTCCACATTGTGGTTAGCTTTTATCCTTAAGTTGCCATGTATTTTTCTTGAATCATCATCTTTGCTTTTGTTTTTGTTTTGCCTGTTTTCCTGCCCTTTTACTAATTTTCCATAGCTGCCAAAATGGTGCAGAAAATTGCCTGTAAGTACCAGCTAGGAGGTAGTGAAATACAGCCTTGTTTCTTTTAATAGATTTAGAATGTAGACACTTTGTTCCCACAAATCCTTGCTTTTGCTGTTAGAATAAAGGCATTTTGTTTTCACTGAGTTAAACCCTGCTCACGTGTGAGTCAAGCACACAGACAAGCTGTTGTCGAGGAAGAGACTGACAAATATAGCTTCATCTTAAAAGATTCTTAAGAGGGAGCTTTATTTTTCTGTAAAGAGACCTACATTAAAAATGTGATACTTTCAGCCATACATTTTCTTGAATATTTTCATCAGCCCAGCTTGCTGAGCAAGTCATAAACTCTGCTAGTGGTTTCTGAAGCTCAGGACTACATATTCAAATAGAATCCCGTGTGCCAGACAGTGATGTTGTAGGAATTGTTCCTTTTCATCCTGGTAGGAAGCACTCCTGTCTTTGGGTGAATGCACGTTTGCTAAAATGGCGGGTTTTTTGGTTTTTTGGGTTTTTTTTGGTTTTTTTTTTTGCATTGTGTTGGTTATTAAGTAAAGCCACAGTGAAAATACTATGCTTTTTAAGTGCAAGCAGAACTAGAAGGTGATGATTAACTGGGGTCTTAGCTACACTGTAGTACTTAACACTCTCAGTCAAAGCATGCCCTGTCCTGCTTTGAAATGCCTGTAAAAGAGGACAAAACAGGTAGGACATTCTTGGTTCAGAGCGCCCTGAGAGAGAAGATTGAGTTCCCGTCTGCTGTGGTGTCTGTGCATGCCCACTGCAGGGCCAGGACGGAATCAAGCAAGTCTCTTTATCTTACTTCTAGTCCCCTTTCTTGAGAGCTGTACCCAGAGAGCTGAGGCTTGCCTGGACCTCCCAGCAGCCTCACCAGGAAAGGTCTCTTGCCAATAACAGAGGGGCCTTAGAGAAGAGGAGGCGAGGGGCCCTAAGCCAGTACTGGGCACTACGGCTCCTAGGTCCTTGAAGATACTGCATCTTTTATTTTCTCTGGAGATCTTTCTCTGTCACCTGGGGCCCCCATTTCTGGGAAGAATTGCTCAGTCTCTTGATTTTAGATTTAATACGTGTAAAACCCTATAATGACTGGCACTAGTCAGACAAGTGCTTGTTCTTTTGACAGCATTTATTAAGCACTTACTATGTGTAAGGCACTATGCCTAATGCTGGGGCACAGCAATTACAGGGCATACAAGACAAGTTTATAGCTGGAGACAGAGCCACTCATCAAATAAAGAGGTATTTCATTATCTCTATGTATATTTAAGACTCAGCCCAAGAGCTCACCCACCTAGTGTTTGGCAGGTAGGGGGTGGTTAATTTGACTCACAAAGTTCCCTAGTGTCAAGGTTGAACTTGCCCTTTGGGAGTTCAGCATGACAAATTTGACTCATGAAGATATAGAGGCAGACTTCTTTCTGGTGGCTCTTAAGAGACCCCTGTCTTGAAAGAACTGCCACTCTGTAGCGGAAGCTACACTTGCGTGACAAAGCTGGGACCTAAACTCCCTCCTCCTGTTGGATCCCTCTTGCGAGAGTTCTTAAAATCTGTGGCAAGCTGCAGCTTAGGGAGCATCCTTTGTTGCAGCAAACCTCTCTAGAGTTCAGCAGCTTCTCTTCCTTTGGTTTTTTTCATAAGAGATACGAGGACCTGTGAACAGTGACATTTGTCCAGCCATTTCTAATGCAGACCACTCTGGGGGGATTCATCAGATGCCAGGTGCTGTTTGTTGGGGAAACAGCCTTATTCCGGCCATTATTTGTAACACTCAAAGAGCTTTTGCCTCTGGCATCAGCTGCTATTGAGTGAGGGCCATTATATGTCATTGAATTCCTGGAACGGTGGCACCTTTAAGTACAAGAGGAAAAAATACAACTTAATTTGTCATCCAAGGGCAGGGACTTGCTGGTGCAAACCCAGCTGGGCCCTGAGGCCTGGCTCCAGTGAGTGTGGAGGACCAAGGGGAGGGGGGCAAAGAGCTCAGGCTTTGCCACCATCTCCCTCTCCCAATTGGGAGAGTGGCTTGAGGCTAGGGCGGGGGGCTTCCTGTGGGCCTGTTTGGGCCACCATAGCCACTCTAACCCACACCTGGCATGGCCCTGCCAAGCCTGACTCTGGGGACAGGCATAGCTAGGCCTGAGTGGGGGTGGCGTGTTTCCTGAAGAGTGTCTGTTTTCTCTGGTTCGTCTGCTTTGTCATGGACCCTCTGTTGCATGTTGAGCAATCACTGTCTCCTCTGTCATGGAGCGGACTTGGCCTCATGCTGGAATACGGCATGTCAGGGTCTGGCCTTGACTGTTTCTGACACTGGGATGAACAAAAATGTGAAAAGAAAATGAATCCAACTGATTTCTCTCTTCTGTTTGCTTTTCCTCCTCTCATGCCCACCCCTACCTCCATCTCATCACCATTTAGGATGAATCTCTTCAGCGTCTGCAGAAGGAGTCTGACATCTTACAGAGAACATATGCACACTACTTCGATCTCACAATTATCAACAATGAAATTGATGAGACAATCAGACATCTGGAGGAAGCTGTTGAGCTCGTGTGCACAGCCCCACAGTGGGTCCCTGTCTCCTGGGTCTATTAGGCCTCTCCCCAGATATCTGAGCATAACTGGGAGCACCTCATACGTGGAAAAGCCTCTTTGTTATCGGCCTTGTGTCAGCAGGTCATGGTCCCTAGAGACTACCTAGTTGTAGTGTGACCTACATTTATAATTATTGTCATGTCCGAATAGATAGGAGGAGAAAAACAATTACACACTAATTTAAAGAGACAGTATCTTTTTTAATCAGTTCTCCTAAACTTTAATAAAATGTATCTTTAAATGTATGTATTATTCAATCCTTTGGAATGTTATATTTTTGGAAATCATAGCTTTTTATTTCCAAGGCCCCTAAAAACTGCACAAAATAGATGCTGCTTTCTATAATCTATTTTAATAATAATAAACAATGATTCTGTTACCTTGACTGGGGGTGGAACACTACATTCTTTTTAGAGTCTGATTTTATGGATTGGAATATCTTTCTTTCCTTTATTTATTTGAAATAATTAGTGTAGTGATTACAAAACAGTCATAAATTTTTAAAGGCCTTTTTTCTCTTTTTTTTTTTTTTTTAGAATAGTATTTTTTTTTTAAGTCCTTTATGTAACATCCAGATAATGTGATACTGTCTCTTTGAAGCACCCTGTAAACCTTTTAGAGATTTGAAGTTGGGTCTTGACTCTTAATGCATGTGGACAGTCGCGAGCGTTTATGCTGTCGGTGTGTCTGTGTTGGACAAAACAATCTGTAATCTACAGCAAAGTACATTCTACATTCCGTTCATGGGGCACACCCAGGGGAATAAGAATAAAATGCTATTATGACTAAGTTGTAAACCTATGCACATCCCTTGCATTTTGGGCAACTTTATAAAAAAAAAAAAAAAAGAAACTGATTTTTATTAATAATAATCATGTAGTGAAATGTGTTTGTAATTTTGTCTCAATTTAATTTGTTGTAAGGTGGGGGGGAATTGCTGGTTTCACCATTTCAGATCTGTGTTGTCTAAGAGTATTAACGTTTTAATTAAGCAAAGAAATGAGGATTTTTAATCTGTATGTAATTGTTTTAAAGCACCCATTTTAAGAGAAAATACTGTGCAATGAAGAAACCAGTTTAGGCATTTGCTATAAACTGAAATATTCCAAAAGAATAATCTATAACAGCCCTGTAAATTCCTTTAAAATGATAACAGGACAGTTTGACCAATTTTTTTTAAATATACTTCCTTTTATGTGTTCAATAATTAAAATGCCTTTGGGTCCTTCATTTCATTATAGATTTGTTCAGGCTTCCAAGCTGATAATCTTTTCAATTGTATAATTTGTTAGATGCTCATCGAACCTTTGAAGGCCCAGGAGTGAGTATCAGTTGGCAGGGCGACAAAGGAGCCTGCCAGAGCCCAGCTGGACCGCGTCTGACTCGCACAGAGCCATGAGCCCAAGGGCCACAGGTGTACTGGAGGCCACCTGTGGTCTCTTCTTCCTCTTGCTGTTTCCCTTGGCACAGGGGAATCATCTGTCCTTGTTGCTTTAGAGACATTAACCATCTCATAACCCTTCCATGAAGTCACGTTCTTCCAATACAGGAGATTTGGGCTGGGGTTCTCAGACTCTTTGCCAGAGGTCAGTAGAATGGTTTTCATTAGCGTGTGAGGGTGTGAAGTACTTATATTAACCTGTGATCCTTGAAAACATACCATCGTTTTTTTGCTTCTTGTAGGTTAGATGGCCTTGTCACTTTGTGCCTTGGCAGGATGTGCAGGGTGTTTTCTGAGCCGAACAGCTCCTCTTAAAGGACCAAACAGAGAAGGAATTAGTATACTTCTTTTACGTTGTCAGCACCCTACCCGCCTCCGCCCCCACTGCCTATTATGAAATGATGACGATTTTTTTTTTTCTGATGTTGTTCTTTGTCAGTGACCAGATGAGTCTGCGACTTACTAACAAGGTATTGAGTGAACTACTTCTGTTTGGGCCCCACAGGGGGGTGACCAAGCCACCAAACCAGAGACAAGCTCAACAGTGGTCTCACGCTAGATGGAGAGAGAAACCTTCAAAGAGTTAGTTAGGGCTGTGTTAGGACTGATTCAAATCTGATAGATGCCACGGCCAGACAGTCATTCCTGGTATGGTACTGACCACAGTTTGGGCTCTTAGTGTGAAGGTGCCCACTCTACCTCTTTTCTGGTGAAGCACAAAGACAACTACAACTAACACAAGGGAAATAGAAACTTCCCTCCCTCTAGTGGAAACCCCCACGCCCCCACTTGCCCTTTGAGCCCACATCTCCAGAGACGCTGACGATGCCTGTCTTAAGCCATCTGCCATGTTTATAAAGGTGGATTAAGCAGAGGAGGAGAAAAGCAATGCCAACTTAAATGTCTGTGGCCCCAGAATTCACAGGCACTGTAGCACTCTTCCTCAGTGGCTTTATACATCCTCTGAGAAGCACCCAGGCAGGCATCATTCTTGCCATCATTCCGATGGTGAAATCCCTGCATGCAGAACTCATTGACTTCTCAAAGAGGTTATCTGTTCCATTCCACTAATACATGTCTTCTCTAAAGCAGTGTCTTTATGACCTAGCTGCATATACTTAAATTTCTGAATTCAGAGTAATTTCAGTACATTGCTGCTGCTGCTACTGCTACCTTACAATTGTCCACTAAGCAATCAGAGAAAATTGCTAAAAGCTTCTTTACTGCTTCCATTCCATCAGCAGAACCTCCCCCGCTCCTTTTAAAGACCAGAACGAATGATTAGAGCACTAAATCTTATTAGTGGTCAGTTGAAGTACTGGAGAGCCCTATTTTGAAGGTTCTCTCCCCCACCCAACTCCATTCCCCACAGCAAGAAAGGGAGTGTTTTTATATGTTGAATTCTTTGTTAAAAAGATGAAATGTCCTGATTTTCCAATCACAAGGCAGTAATTACTTTGCACATGCAGCATATCCCATTTTAACGCTAAAAAGGGAAATGTCACTCAATTTAATTCATCTGGAAGTTTCCCAGTGTCAAGATAACATTGTAGCCTTTTTAAATGCAATTAAATGTATCTCTTGTCAGGTGAGATGATTTAAAATATTTGCTCAGAGAGTAAAAGAAATGGTTGACCTACTTCTTGCTATTTGCATTCAGAAGGCATCGTCCCAGCCCATCCTATTGGTGGCTGAATATCTGAAGATGTCGCAAAGTCCCCCACTGCAGGAGAAATGCAGGAGGTGTTCCTGTTCCCCATCCAATTCCTTCTTAGGCTGCTAGAGCCAGCCAGTGGGCCAAGCCTTCCTCTGTGCTCCAGGCAGGCCTGGGCTGCAGCTACTATTATCTTTTTACAGCCTTTGATCTCATCGCTGCAGAGTTCTTTTGTTTGTAAATCACTTTATTTGTCTCTTCATTAAGGCTTCAAGTTTGTTTCTTGAAAAAGTTTAGTCAATTGAACCACCCTCCAGGAAGATTCCCACCCTGGAAACTGCCCCTGAAAAACAAGGCAACCCAAAGCCAGCTCTCTTTTGTCCCCCACTGATGTCATGTCCTTTTTTTTTTTTTTTTTTTTTAAATTTCAGGCCAGTTTCTTAACTCGGGGCAAAGAGAATCTGTGTTGCTAAAGCTACCAAGAAAACTGCTTGATTAACAAATTCTTAATAGAAATGCCTCCCACGCTGTCTCTTTGGAAAGAGAAGGCACCTTGGAATCGGCATTCCAAAACCAAGCTCCTTGTCGTCCTCATACCTCCTCCTTCTTGCTTCCTATTATCAAACTCGTGTGTGTTTCTTGTTTTCTCAGAACTGAACACAGCCTCCTCATTCCATCCTCTTGACTAAGGGCTTACAATACTGAGAGCGATTACAGCCTGTAAGAGGTTAAAGGCCCCTGAGCGTGGCTCTCTTGCTCTGCGCCTCAAATTCTTCTATTGAAAGATGCTTTCCTTCTCACTGCAGCTTACAGAAAGGCTACAAGCTTTAATCACAGATCATTTCATTTGCCAGAGCCTTTCCTTTTCTAACTCCTTTAGAAATAAGAGTTCCCTCTCTGTTTGGAATATCTGGATACAGGACTCTCCTCCAAGCTCGTGGCTTGATTGGCTTTGCCTGTGCACACACACATCAGTTTGCCTTAAACTTGGAGCTATGGGGAGTCCCGGATTTTCCAGCTTAGTGGGTGAAGTTTAACTGTCACATACATCCAGGAAGTGGGAGAAAAGGGAAAAGAAGAGGATATTCCCCACCATGTTCCCATCTGGTTTTTCCCCTGCCTTGCTTTGTGCAGCAGGTGGGCAGACAGAGCCCACAGAAACAGAAGTAGAAAGAGGGCCGCACCATCCCTGGGGCCAGCACTCCCAAGTCTTAGCTCTTTGTGGGGATAGAAAATCCTGAGCTCCCACCACCTCTCATCTGACCCTCCATCAACTCCCTTGAACCTGTGCAAATGGACTGAGCAAAAGAAAATGGAAAGAGACGTTTGTCACCACACAGGAGACCTCCTTTCTGGCCCCAAGCACAGCTCAATCTCTGTGCACGCTCAGAAACTCAAAATTTAGCTACTATTTATGTGTTAGCTCCATTCTCTCCGGTGTGTGACTGAGAGAACACGCCAGTGTTCTTACTGACAGAGGCTCGGGGTGACCCTCTCTGGACCCGGAGGAAGTACAGCCTCTGTAGCAGGAGTTGTCCTTGGGAACAGAAATAGGCATTCCTCCACAATGAGTGGCTCCCCCTATTTTTTTTTTTTTTATTTGGAAGAGACCAAGAATTGGGGGAATTGATTTCCAGTCTTAGCTGTTTCCCGGAATGTCATCTGTGCAGGCAGGTAGGCAGCTGCCGGGTGCAGCAGGCAGCGTGACTGATGTGAAGGCCACACAACCCTCACGTGCTGAGACCCGAGTATCGTGTTTAATTGCAGTGTAGGCGCGTCCCCATTCAAACTCAGTTCTGGGGTGGTTTTGCATAAAGTTTTGCCAACGTGTTCTTTTTTCTGTATGTATTATTGCCTTTTTATAAAAGGTGTTGAAGTATTGTCTCAGTGATAAAAAGAGAGAGATGTTAATGGTTGTTGTATATTTCACCGTATCCAATTGTAAGTATTTGCAGGGTACAGCAGAGCCTTAGCTAGCAAGAGCGTTTGTGCAGGAGGTGTCCCTCAACACCCAGGAGCTGAAGGGATTGGAAAGGTTTGGATTCTTTGTAAATGTCCTGCTTTTCTTTCTCTCTGTGTGTATCTATTTACATGCCTTAGCACACGCCCTCCCATCCTGATTCCTTTGCCCTGTCGCCGGAACAACCAGAATGCTGGTGCGCTGCCGGCACAGTACAAATTGATGAAACCCTAATCAGTTATCTTGTGTGACAGGGGAAGAAGAGAAACTCCATAGTATTCCTTGTAGAATATACATACCTGTAGGATGCTGTGTAATGGGAAATCATAGAATTGGGCTTTTGTCATTTCAAAGTTGGAGAAATGTATGAATAAAATGTATAAAACATGAAAAGGCAGTTGTCTCCTCAGATTACAGGTCAAACAGCTTGGGGACAAACAACAGAGGGTTAAAAGAAGAGGGATGGCCTGATTTCTAAAGGCCCCTGCAGAGTTCATCCACACGGTTAGGCCTCAGACACCTTCCCGCAATGGTTGGGGTGGGGTAGGGGTGTTGCAGAGGGACAGCTCCCGCCCCTGTAAAGGAGCACAACCCAGGCTCCTGGTGCCCATCCTGCAGGTTTCAGTCTTCAGCCATGGCTGTTAACAGACGGCATCCTGCAAGCAGTTCCAGCTCAGTTGCTTGCATTTGGATGCAGGCTTAAAATAACTTCATCTTTTAAAAAAAAAAAAGAAAGAAAGAAAAAAGAAAAAGTCTAAGTTGTGACATCTCCTAGAAATAGAAGTCTAAATTGATTTTGGTGGTGTAGGTGCCGCAGCGTGGAAAATGTGGCCCTTGGTTGACATTTGCATCAAGAGCTGTGGGAGGACGCCTGCTCCAGCACTGCCGCTCCACGCAGTGCCTTTGTGATTTCATGGTTTGATTTGGTCTCTGGCTGGAGTCTGGGATGTGCTTCCTGGCGTGCCTCACTAACCTGGTTTACACACGATTCCTTCCCTGCCCTTGCCCTATGCTTTGCCAAAGCAAGGAACCATGGTGGCTTCAGAAGAAACACTTGTATGTGTCACACACACCCCAGAAAGAGCCCAGGCCTGAATGAGCTTACCTGGCTCACTTTCAGAAGACCCATATGAAGGAAACATAAACTACCAG